CTTCTCAGTCAGGCTGCGACTGGAGATGACTTCATATTTTGGTGTACATGAAGGTGATGGGCGAGAGGCGAGTCTTTTTTATTGCCCCCCCCCTGTATACTCGAAATCCCTGAGATCGGGTAGGCGTGGCCGCATGCTTCAACTTAACCTGAAGGTGTCTATGCTTCTGGTGAGATATTTTCATCTTGACACAATTGTTGTCGTGTCTCTGTCCAACACAGAACAAGATGACAGTTGTCCCAGACTGGAATATTCCACGAGTAACCAGTTCCGTGCCATGTTCCATGTTCGAATGCCACGCCTACTCTGGCTCAGGGATAAGGAGCGTAAATAGTATATCAAAAGAAATGTAGCAGCAAACTAAATACGCAGCCTTGACAAATAGTAAGACCATAGAGATTGAATATTGCGCTCAAGTTAAGCTCAGCATATATACAGATGAGGAGTAGGACAGGGTGCACTAGCGAGGCGAGCAATCCTCTCTGCGAGCTCGCGCTCAGTGATTATTTCATGCTTACACAAGAGAGAATCAATTTCATGGTGCAATACCTGTGCTGGAACCGCAGATCCCTCCGTCGTGGAATTAGTGCAGCAGGATGAGGATTGAGTAGCCGACTGGACCCAATTCTGATTCTAAACAGCAAAATGACATCACCACACTCACATTGCTTCGCTTATCGATTATGGATATAGTGATGGAGATCCCCGTTGAGGCGACGCGATGTTGAAAGCGGTTTCACGTGCGCGAAATTCGCACCAGTTCTTCAATCAAGGTGGGTAGATTTGACGTAACTAGTTAAAAAAGCTCAGCTAGTTTCTGACCAGGGAAGTCCGCCAATGCATATGGAACTTTGAATGGAGACCTGGGTAGATCGATAGAGTCCTAAGGTTATAGATAGCAAAACTGCAACCTGCATTTCACAAGCAACTTATGAGCAGGTAAAGTTTGTAATGGTGCAGTAGGGTGGAGGCTTGGTGGTGAGCTGTGAAGCATAAGCGAAAATCGGTGGTTCAGTGGTAAGGTTCGACGTTCGACGACTGGATTCGACCACCGATTCTCCACCCTACTGCACCATTACAAACTTTACCTGCTCATAAGTTGCTTGTGAAATGCAGGTTGCAGTTTCCCTTATAGCTCTATCGATCTACCCAGGTCTCCATGCAAAATTCCATGATAAGTTGGCGGACTTCCCTGGTAAGCGTCGCCGCAGGGTGGACCTCCCGCACTACACGTGAATCAAATGGTAGTCTAAAACCTGGAACATTACTGACGTTTAGGAAAAAATCATCAGAACATAATCCTGTGAACATCAAGCTCGGATCTGGGAGATCTGACGGCTCTGGAGCAACAGCGGGAGACTGAAACACATTCATATTTCGATCATCTAAGGTTCACATATACACCGATTTGGAAGCTCATGTTGAGCCCAACTTCAGATCTAAAAATTCGGAACTTGTAGTACTGTGCTAATCTGCACTAACTAAAACAAAACAACCTATAGCCCTAATTAGGACGATATCCGTGAAGTCTATAGCAGCGGTATTCCCGTCAAAAGACTTGATTCAACACCGGATTGCAGGACATCCGAATCGCCGACTCTTAGAGGTGCATTCATACTTTGTGGAGCGCTCTGAGCGTCCGCCAGCGTTTCGAGCGGTAACCGATTTCTATGATTCCCAAGCCGTTCAATACGCTCTAAACGCTGACAGACGCTAAACGCTGCCGAAAAGCATGAACACACTCTTTCAAGTCACCAGCGAGAGGAATCGATCATCGGAAACGACGGGCCAGCAATCCTATTACTATCCCGAGTAGCAAAGAATGGCCTGAGATTTTCTACACGATGTTACCCCCCCCCCCCCACTGAGGGTCACGACCACTGAGAGTATGATCAGTAAAAGAACGAAAGTCAAAAGTAGCCCATACGTTAACTAGTCACAATCATAACTACTGATATCTGCAATAATGCCGTAAACATGGCCCTCACCTTCGGAACTGCATTGAACCCCAGCATTTCAACGCTTTGTACAGTACTTCCAGAGTCATTCAGCTGCGCTTCGAGTACATCCTGAACAGTATATTTTGCTTGGACGAAAACATGGGTATATAATACAAAAACGTAAGAAAATGATAGCAACCGTGGCGTCCAACCAGTAAAGCACCAATAAGGCAAAAAGCGTTCGGAAAAAAATTTAGTGGAATGGGAATGCAAAAGGCTTTGCAGAGGCCACATTCATAATTTGCAAATACGAAAAGGACGCAAATGGGCAGAAAGCGCGAGTCAAGAGAACCGAGGACTAGGCTCGTCAGCAAAGAAATAGATTGACTCCGCGCCATGCCAAACAGACGGAATAAGGGAAATACGCGTGCTCCTGGTTAGCGCATACTCCGAAAACGCTGGTAGGGAGTCAGTAGACTTCCATCTAATCTTCAGGGCGAGATAGGTGACTTCCCGAAAAGCAGTATATCGAACTCGACTACTTGCATTTGGAAGTAAGCCGGTAAGGCTGCGTTCATACTTTGCGTCAGCATACGCCAGCGTACGGCAGCATTTCGAGCGTAAGCCAACGCCAGCGACTAGGAAAGTATAGGTATCGATCTAGCGTACGCCAGCGTATGCCAGAGCTTTCGCGGGCACTTTTGCTCAAGCTCAAACTGCCCGTGAAAATGCTGGATACGCAGGTGCACGCTTAAACGCTAATTATCGATACTTTCCCCTGTCGCTCGAAACGCTGCTGTACGCTGGCAAACGCTAGATCTATACCTAC